AGACTAAATAAGCCCAGTTCCCTCAGCCTGTCTTCAGAAGTCATGTGACCCAGTCCCCTTGCCTTTTTTGTTGCCTTCTGCTGGACTCTCTCCAATTTTTGCACATCTTTTCTATAGTGGGGGCCCAACACTGAACACAGTACTCCAGATGTGGCCTCACCAGTGCAGAATAGAGGGGAATAATCACTTCCCTTGACCAGCCGGTAACAATGCAGTCTAATATGCTGTTAGCCTTCTTTGCAACAAAGGAACACTGCTGGCTCATATTCAGCTTGTTATCCACTATGACCTCCAGGTCCTTTCCTGCAGAGCTGCTGCCCAGCCAGTCAGCCCCCAGCCTGAACTTATGGAATGGGATTGCTCCATCCTAAGTTCAGGACTTCGCACTTGCCCTTGTTGTACCTCATGAGATTTCTTCTGGCCCAGTCCTCAAATTTTTCTAGGTCACTCCAGATCCTATTTCTACCCTCCAGCATATGTACTACTCCCCCCAGCTTGGTGTCATCTGCAAACTTGCTGAGGGTGCGCTCTATGCCATTGTCCAGGTCATTAATGAAGACATTGAACAAAACGGGCCCCAGGACCGACCCCTAAGGCACTCCACTTAATACTGGCTGCCAACTAGACAGCAAGTGATTTATTACTACTCTCTGAGCCTGATGCTCCAGCCAGTTTTCTATCCACCTTACAGTCCATTCTTCCAGCCCATACTTCCTTAGCTTTCCTGTGAGAATGCTGTGGGAGACCATATCAAAAGCCTTACTAAAATCAAGGTATACCACATCCACTGGTCTCCCTGCATCCACAGAGCCAGTCTCCTCATCATAGAAGGCAATCAGGTTGGTCAGGCATGACTTGCCCTTGGTGAATCCATGCTGACTGTTCCTAATACCTCCTTCTCCTCTAAGTACTTAGAATTGGATTCCTTGGAGACCTGCCCCATGATTTTTCCAGTGACTGAGGTGCAGCTGACTGGTCTGTAGTGCTCTGGATCCTCCTTCTTCCCTTTCTTAAATATGGGCACTATGTTTGCCCTTCTCCAATAATCTGGGACCTCTCCTGATTGCCATGAATTTCTAAAGATTATGGCCAGTGGCTCCCCAATCTCATCAGCCAATTCCCTCAGAACTCTCAGGCGCATCCCATCCTTTCCCATGGACTTGTACATGTCCAGCTTATCTAAAAAGTCCTTTATCTGTTCTTTGGCCACTGGGAGTTGCTCATCTCCTCCCCCTACTGTGCTGCTCAGTGCAGTAGTCTGGGAGTTGACCTTGCTTGTGAAGACTGAGGCAAAGGCATTCAGCACTACAGCCTTTTCTGCAGCCTCTGTTACAAGGTTGCCTTCCCCATTCAGTAACAGACCCACACTTTCCATGATCCTCTTCTTGCTACCAGCATACGTGAAGAAACCCTTCTTGTTACCTTTCACATCCCTTGCTAGCTGCAACTCCAAATGCGCTTTGGCCTTTCTGACTTCATCCCTGCATACTCAATCAATGCTCTTATATTCTTCCCTAGATATTTGTCAAAGTTTTCACTTCTTACAAGCTTCCTTTTTGTGATTTAGTTTACTGAAGAGTTCCCTGCTAAGCCAAGCTGGTCTTCTGCCATACTTGCTAGTCTTCCTGTGCATCAGGATGGTTTGTTCCTGCACTCTCAGTAACAAACTTTTTTTTTATGCATACATAAGGCAAATATACTAATATGAATTTCAAATTAACAAGTGTTG